GCATATAGAAAATGTAGAATCATAACATGTTGGTCCTTTCAGAGGATAAACAAATGAGGTTAGTTTTGAATGCTGGTGGACCAGACCGGCTATCTCGTGTTCAAATGGCTCAAGTGGTTGCAGAAGTCAGAGGACACGATCCGTCCTTGATTAAACATGTGTCTACATCATCGGTATGTGTAAAGCTTTCACTAATGATCTCACTTGTTGAATATCGCAAGATCATCCACTTAATTAGTCTGTCTATTGAGCTGTTTTCTCAGGTTGATCGAGGCGTGGTGTCACCAGCGGATATTTCTATGGACATAACTAAACTGATTCAGACACTGAAGATCTCTCCAACTTCCTTCAAAGACGGTGTCAGATTAACCCTTGAATCTGAATCTCATTCTCATATTCTCTAATGATATTATTCCCTTCTCTGTTCCTATATCTTACCACTCTGTTTCTTTGTATCAAGTTATACGATTTGGTTCAAATTTATGCATCATTGCCCGTAACATAGATTCTCTCTATATCTAGTAATGCTCCAAATCGATTTCATTGTAGTGGTGTTGGATTCTATTTATATAGCTTAAACTTTGTTCATTTTCTATTTTCAGCAATAATAGTTTTTGTATTAGTGTTGACATAAGATGTGAGTTTAGATAACCAAAAGGTTCAATTCTCCTCTTTGTATGGAATTAAGATGTTTTCTTCCAAATTCGGTCTTGAGAATTCAAAGATGATGCCAAATTGCAAATTCCACCAAAAGAAACAGTAGCCACCCACACAGATTTCAAATGGTCTCAAAGCTATGAGAACACGTGGGATTAATCATATTTACTTTCCATTCAAAGACAAAATCCTTTTGTTAAATTTTATCTTCATTGTCCTAATCAATGTACAATTTGACAAAAATCAGTAGACAAATTCTCTACTTTGCATCAAAGCCTCTTTTTTTAGTCTTTGTACTCTGTTTTAAGGACCCAAAACGAACCGTTTTGATCTTTCTGAAGCGTGGCAATCTCCTTCAATAGATTTTTAAACAAGGGTGCGCCCTCAGAAGGAACTCTGTCCCTGAAATGGTTTACAATGCTGCTCGAGTCTGTGCTTCCTCCTCTTTTTTGAATAAAGCTGCATATCTGTCGGATCAGGACCTCGGGTTGCAACGAACCTACTTTGCTGCTTGCACCCGAAGAAGACGGGGGTGGAGGCTGTAGCTGCTCAAGGCCTGCGCCGATGGCTTGCTCTCTGCTTCCACGGATTCGGCTGAGAAGCTCTGCGGAAGACGGTGCTTTGCCAGAAGATAGACCCGCGCTGATTGCGTTCTTGATCGTTGATGATTTGTTTGCTGTGGTCTGGGTTAACTGGGAATTTACAGTTGATCCGAATCTCATCCTCACAGATGACGGTGCACCTGCACAACCAGATCTTCCCGTCCACGTGGGCACTGAGATGCTTTCGCGGCTACGCAGCATTCGTGATTGGCGTAATGCTTCTGCGGCTCTCTGTGCCACTTGAGACGCCTGATGTTCAAGTCTCATCTTCTCTTCCTCGTCGTCTGCATTCATGATGGTGTCGTGGTTGACTGCACTCTGTAAAAGATGGAAGTAGAGTGAAGCCAAGTGGATATAATGGGATAGTAACTCGGAGAAGAAGCTTCAATGAACTTACATGTATTCCATGCGCGTCAAAGAGACTCTTTAAGATATTTGTCTCTTCATCCATGGCCTCGCCAGTTTTATCATTGGTTTCCACATTATTTTGCTCTGAGGATCCTTCTACAGTATCGTGAATAGTAAGTTGTGTAACGGATTCAAGTTTTTCCTCTGATTGAGCTCCTACAATGTTTATCTCTAGCTGACTGAAGATGTTAGAGGTTTCTGTGGAGACGTTGCTATCGCCATCATCAGTCAGGATGAAAAGATCTTTCATATCCCGAGCTTTGAAGAATCTTCTCTGTTGCGGATTCTTCAAGATCTTATTGGTGAGAAAATGTTTATATATTTGTCGATGATATACCTTCTCCTCGATTGTCCCCCGCGTGATCAGTCTATACACTGTAACATCCTTCTTCTGCCCTATACGCCAAGCACGTTCTCTTGCCTGTCACAAAAAAAAAGAAAACAGAAAATTGATTGTTATTTAAGGCCATGACGGGTTTTAAATATGTGACATGGAAAGCAAACCTTACCTGCATATCATTCGAGGGGTTCCAATCCGGGTCAAAGATGATGACCCTATTCGCGCCAATCAAGTTTGTTCCCAATCCACCCACCTTCGTAGTCAGAACGAAAACAAACACATCATCTGAGTTATTAAACTCATCAATCAAAGCCATCCTCTGTTTCACTGGTGTAAGACCATCCATCCTTCGGTAACTATACTCATTTGTCATCAAGAAGCTCTCGAGGATGTCAAGCATTTGCTGAGTCTGTGAAAACAAAAGCACACGGTGACCTTGCTGTTTCCAGACCTTGAGAATTTCTGCAACAACCTTCATCTTCCCACTGCGTTCTGGGTTCCCATAATCTGGGTTCTGGTGAGAATGATCTCTCTCAAGTAGATCAGGGTGGTTGCATATCTTACGCATCACATCAATCCCATAAAGCGAATTCTTGTTGCCATCAAAAATCTGTTCTACCTCGGAGCTCGCAAGGAACGCCCTGTAGGTGGATCGCTGCTCCACAGTGAGGCTGCAGAAGAGAACGTGTTCAGTCTTTTTTGTAAGATGTGCATTCACATCAGCCTTCATGCGGCGGAGGAGGTACGGCATGATCAAATCACGAAGAACAACTGCACACCTGCAAATTGTCAACCATTGTTAGAACACAAACTGTGACAGTTACAAGTGTTTCAAAGAAAGACCAGGTAATTACCTATAGGCAGTTGACACTTGCAAAGGAGAAGCATTGGCGTACCCACCCACAGTTATGGGAACAGAAAACTCTGCCTCAAACACGGGCAAGACCCCCAGTTTTCCCGGGAAAACAAAATCGAATAAGGACCAGAGTTCTATAAGTTTATTCTGGATTGGTGCCCCAGTCATAATAATTCGATGGACGGTCTGTAACTGTTTGCACACAAGAGTAATTTCAGCATTTGGGTTCCGGATCCGATGGCCTTCATCCAGTACTGCATAACCCCACTCAATATTGAGCAGCTTCTCACCCTGCAGTCTCAATTGCTCGTATGTGGTGATGAGGAGCCCCGAATCCGAATTTAAAACCCTGTTTATCAAAGAATCCCATTTCTTGGTGTTCTTAGACTTTTGCTCGTGATCACTTTCAACTGAACCTTCACTGTCATAATCGCTTTCAGAGGCCTTGACTCGTCCTCTGCCATTCCTAGAATCTTGAGCTGAGTCATGGAGTATTTCCACGTGAAAATCGGGGTACCATTTATGTGCTTCTCTTCTCCATTGACGCAAGAGTGTGACCGGACATATGACAATACTTGGTTTATACATCTTACTAAAATGCAAGGCTCCGAGAAAAGATAAGACCTGCACAGTCTTACCAAGACCCATCTCGTCCCCGATAATGCCACCAGCCTTTTGGCAATGAAGTTCCCAGAGCCACTGCACCCCAACTCTTTGGTAGTCAAAAAGTTTACTAAATATGCTTTCAGGAATGTTTAATCCACCTTCAAGCTGTACAGAAGATGTCTCATTGTCGTCTGTGTCATCAACATCATCTAGTTCTTCTTCCTCACAACTGGAAGTGGTCAAGATTCTCTGTCCATCTTCTGAAACATTGCAATGAAAATCAGCATGACAACTTGTTACTTTACATAAACTCAAGTGAGGAAAATGAAGCATATGCTTAATAACGATAGAAACTGTTAAGATATCAATTCAAAGCATGCATTCGTAGCATGTAATATCTAAACTTTAGAATATCTAATATCACCCCTTATCTTGTTCAAAAGCATTCGCCAAAATTAATAGCCATTAGATTCACCTGTTCCAACAGAACTCTGAAAATATATATGTTTAATTCTCAATAGCATCATCAATCATACCACTTTCTTGGAGACTAGAATCTTCGTGAGAAATCCGCTTTGTCCATTTCCTATTAGGCAAAGGCCGCTTCTTTTTTATCTTCCCAGCTTTACTTTTCTTTGCTTCATTTTCCGGAGAATCATGAGATTTGTAAAGCTTTTTTAACCTTCTAAAAGGAACAGGGGTAGCTTCAAGCTTTGGCAAGTCTTCTGCATCAAGAAGCTTGGTTGTCGGGCGAGCTTTTGCAGCTTGCGACATTGATTGGACAGCTCTATCAATACTGCTGAAGTCCTCATTCTTGTCATTTTCGTCTTCTCCTTCAGGTAGTTTGCGCGAGTTTGACGGTCCAGATTGTTGAAGCCGGCGTTCAAACCCCTGGACCTTGTGAAAAGGAGTTAAAATTCCTTTTCTCACCAATTCATCTCTTTCCTAGACAAGAATAGCCTTGAGTTAGTCACTGTCTTTCATATATAGATTTGTACACTTGCATACACAATTTTTCATATCAACCTATTAAGAGCATAATCTCACAGTAATCAGGTGAAATAGATCAAATCTTTAAGGACAGCTTCACGTACCGTTTCAACAAAACCAGCAGAAGCTGCATCGAAAACAGCATCAAAATCTGTGTCCTCATGAAATGAGACTACTTTGACTTTCTTCCCCTCTCTTTTGCTAGGTTTCTGAATATCTTTCAATTTTCTCTTGAGACTAGGCTCTTCCTTCACCAGATGACGCAGTAGATTACCGCGATCAGTACGACTACCAGAAACGCTCTGACCAGGTAAACCAGTGAGCTCTTTTTCAAGCTGAGCTTTTCTCTTCTTAAGGCTTTTGAGACGGTCTGTGGCAAGGGCGTGCTGTAGTACAGAACCACTATGCAGCCCATGAACCTCTGATTCTGCTGCAACCTCGTCTACTTGCTCAACAACTGACGCAACAGCATCTATTTCAAACTTTACAGCTCTCAATTTATTCAAAAGCTCGTTCTGGCTGGATGGAAGCAGACTGTTCCCTTCAAGCTCCTCCGCGCCTGAATGATTAAGATCAGAACCATGTCGGTTATCTTCATATTTCACATAAAGTCTTAAGCTACAATCCATATCGATTCTTATACCAGTTGCAAGAGAAAAAACAGCAATCCATAATATCAGATCATCAAAACAAGTTTATAGATGCCTACCTAATTTTCTTCGAATGTAATGGACTCTGACAAGTAACAATTCCGGTGACTACTTTTTCAAACCCCACAGATATTTCAGTAGGTCGTTCCCCAAAATCAGAAATTGAAAGCATAACGAGAAGAAACCCAAGAGATACGAACCATTAGAGCGATCCGAGAGAGCATGGTCTCCGGCGGCGGCGTGGCGGTCGCCTTCTCCGTCGTTGCTGATGTGAGGCGGGTGATGCTGCGTCGTCTCATCTCTCTCAGCCGACCCCATGGAATCTCCGATTGATCAGAGCTTCGATTTCCGTCGTTTCACAAGAAAAAGGGAAACTTGAAACTGTTATTAATTTATCTTTTGGCCTCTCAACTTTTGTCTGATTTTCAAAATAGACCCTTAAGTTTTTAACATGTAATAACACTCTATTTCTTTGTATTATGAACGGCACGCAGTTTATTGGACGCATCGGGCTCGCTTATGATTGGGCCGGCACGTAGTCTAAATACGCAAGTCGTGTTGACTCTTCCTTCTTCCTCTCGACATGGCGGATTCTGCAGAGACCAGCCTGTAACTTTTTTGGATTATTAAACAATGAATGACCTGAAAAACCAACGAAGAGACCTTTCCAGAATATTCTCCTTCTTCTCAAGCAAACCCTAGGATATTATTTCTCGTCTTTTCCTTTTGCGTTTATTTTTTTGTTTTCCCAAAACTCAGCTTTTAAATCGTGCTTGCTTGCTTTAATTGAAATCTGTCAACACAAAGATTTTTTTTGTTTCCTTCCGGCTTCGAATTCTTCAGGTATGGCTTCATTTTGGATTCGATTTGGAGATTGTTATGATAGTTTTGCTCCCCTCGTGTCTCTTGCGTGATTGGGCTCTTCGTAATCGGAAATGTTTTGTGGGTTCTGTGAAAGATTGTTTAAATTCACAGAATTCTAGTCGGAAAATTTCTCTGTATTGGGAAGATGCAATAATCAGATGACTAGAGAATCGATTGGTTTTAGTCGTTTTGCTTTTGTTTCTGTGATAATTACTCAACTTGATGTTTTCTTAAGTAGAAGCTTTTAATCCATAACGCAGGTGGAACAGTTTATCTTATGATTTGGTTAGATGAGTGAAATTAAATTTCGTTTACAGGATATTGAAGCTCTACAGATTTTTCGGCAGTAGAGGTTTAGTTAGCATGAGATAATATGACGAAACAGCAGCAGCACATTGCGATATTTACCACGGCCAGTATTCCGTGGCTGACGGGAACTGCTGTTAATCCTCTCTTCCGTGCTGCCTATCTTGCAAAAGACGGGGAAAGACGGGTCACTTTGGTGATTCCCTGGCTGACTGTGAAACACCAACTGCTTGTCTACCCAAATGGCATCACTTTTAGTTCCCCATCAGAGCATGAAGCTTATGTCCGTCAATGGCTTGAGGAAAGAGTCTCGTTTCCTTTAGGCTTTGAGATACGTTTCTATCCAGGGAAGGTATGATTCAGTTTGCCCTTTCTCAAGAATCTTCTTTGGGTATTAAACGCATACTAGTTTGTTTAAAAGGCTTGTTCTATTCTCTTTCTCGTATTATATAAAGTTGTCTTCTTTCCAAATTCCAATTCTTTCCTGCTTTCCTTAACCATCACATCATTGTTAGTCTTAGTTCTCAACTTATGTGTCTTTGTCTATCTTGATCTTACTTTTATGTGTACTTTCTGTTAATATCGTATGTGATCTTTCTTACATAAGCTCTTACGTAAAATTGTTTATTTATGCTCATATGTATAAGTATCCATTTTTGGCACCGAGCCTCAGAACCTTTCATGGAGATAAATCGTTTCCATTACTTTGTGTGCTTTATCTATCCGCCATGTCTTGGTGTAATTTACATGAATATGCATATACGTCATGCCTTATACGTTTTCATGCACGTTTTTCCTTTCCTTCTCGCTATCTCAAATGAGGAAACCTTTCTTAGCTGTAAATTTTTTTTGGTTTTCCATATTCTGCCCTGAACTTAATATTAATCCCATGTTCAATTCTGCTTTTATTTATCTTTAGTTTAGCTTCTATTGTGTTGTGTCTTTTGCTGAGTTTTCTTCAGATTCTTTGTATGACAGTAACTTTTATGTAGTACTCTCTAACTGTGATATACCTCCTTAACAAATTAAGTTATCTTATTTCAGTTTGCTACAGACAAGAGAAGTATTCTGCCTGTTGGGGATATATCTGATGTCATTCCTGATGAAGAGGCAGACATTGCTGTCCTTGAGGAGCCGGAGCATCTCACATGGTTTCATCATGGCAAAAAATGGAAAACGAAGTTCAATTACGTTATAGGGATCATACACACAAACTACTTGGAATACGTAAAGAGAGAGAAACAAGGCCGTCTCAAAGCTTTTCTCCTCAAGTATTTAAACAGTTGGGTTGTTGGCATTTACTGCCACAAGGTAAACTTCTTTATAGCCACTAGTAGACAGAATGGACGTGAAATATTGGTATCTATGTAATTATTATCCAATGTGTATTGGATTAAATTTTGATGTGACCACGATTATGATTGGCCATTTTGATGTGAATCAGGACTTGTAATAATGGTGTTATTCCTGCAGGTAATCAGATTATCTGCTGCGACTCAAGAATACCCTAAATCTATAGTCTGCAACGTTCACGGCGTCAACCCTAAGTTTCTCGAGATTGGTTTGAGAAAACTAGAGCAGCAGAAGCTCCATGAGCAGCCCTTCACTAAAGGCGCATACTACATTGGTAAGATGGTCTGGAGCAAAGGTTATAAGGAGCTTCTTAAACTACTTCAGAAACACCAAAAGGAACTCGCTGAGTTAGAGGTTGATTTATACGGTAGTGGGGAGGACTCCGAAGAGATCAAAGAAGCAGCCCGAAAACTCAACCTGACAGTTAATGTTTACCCAGGACGTGATCATGCTGACTCACTATTTCACGAGTAAGTCTCTGGTTTAACATCTGAACTATATGTTGTTGGCCGTAACATAGATTCTTCCCTATAGCTAGTATTACTCCAAATCCATTTCCTTGTTGTCTATTGGATTCTATTTATATATAGATTAAACTTTGTCCATCTTCTGTTTTCAGCTATAAAGCGTTTCTCAACCCGAGCACGACGGATGTGGTCTGCACAACAACTGCAGAAGCATTGGCAATGGGAAAAAACGTAGTATGCGCTAATCACACATCAAACGAGTTCTTCAAACAGTTTCCCAACTGCAGAATCTACGACGATGGCAATGGTTTTGTTAGAGCCACCCTCAAGGCTCTCAGCGAACAACCATCGCAACTAACAGAGCAACAGAGGCATGAACTATCATGGGAAGCTGCTACGCAGCGGTTTATAAAAGCCTCTGATCTAAACCGGTTATCAAGAGCTGATTCAAACTTATCAAAGAGAAGTGCCTTTGCGTCTTCGTCTATTAGCGTAGGGAAAAACTTGGAAGATATGTCTGCATATATCCATTTCTTGGCGTCTGGATTTGAAGCTTCAAGAACAGCTTTTGGAGCAATCCCTAGAAGCTTGCAGCCAGATGAAGAGTTGTGCAGAGATCTTGGCTTGACTCTCAAGACTCCTTCCCGGAATAGTCTCAAGGAAGATTGACTCTTATCAACATGTCTGTGAATAATGATCATGTGTATTCTTTACCTTCGGATTCATGGATTTTTTCATCTTCTGTATAATCAGATGTACTATATGAATCATTCTATAGCTTGGTATAAGGTTTATGGTTTATATTAACATGAAAATTAGGTTACATATGTTTGGATTTGTAGCTTAATAGTTTGTAAATTTGTATTCGTGTTGATAAAGTGTGAGTTTAGATAACCCATAGGCCATAAGGTTCAAATTTGTAACGGCTGG